TCCCTCGGCCGCCGAGCCATGCTCACAGCTTTTTCCCTCTATGGGCCGCGGCGATGCTCCGATAGGCCACAAGCGCCGTTTCGATCATGTTTCGAGCTTTCGCGACATAGTACAAGATCAGCCTGGACCAACAGGGCCAACTCCCACGAGTAAATTCGGTCGTGAGTCTCCTCATGCTGATGCTCATCGAGGCGGCTAGGATCAGAGTAGCCTCCCGGCACTGGAGCCATCGGTCCGAAAATTATACCGTCGGTCTCGTGACCGCGCAACGAATTTGACCCTGGAATGCTGGCAGGCGATGGAGCGCCCCCCCTCCCAACGAAGGTATTCTCGAATCGCCTCGTACGCAGATTATTCGTGAAAATCTTCCTTATTTCCCGGTGGTCGAATTGCTATCATTCAATGAGGGCCTTCGAGGCGACGTTCGCATTAGAAAACGGAGAGACGACCGTGACGAACAGACGGGCTACGACTAACTTCAATTATTCAGGGGGATGAGCTCCCCGCATGTTGCGAATTTACATCGCATGTAATTGTAATGTAAATTGTGTAACGTAAATTAATTAATTAAATAATGTTGCGAATCCGAGCGCATGATCCGCTCAAGGGAACGCGTGATGTGGAGTGCCGATGCGGCGAAGACAACCGACATGTCTCTCATACCCTCAATACACTTACCTTGGGTGTCAGGAAACGACATCGTATGGACCGATGATCAATTTCACCTCGAGGCTACCGTCGCAACGGCGAGAGGGGATCAGCGTTCGCTATCGCATTCCCCTGGCTCCCGACCTTCATCAGCTCTGAACCTCCATTTCTCAATCTAGCAGCTTAGTTCTCAAACGAGAAACATGCCTCGGCCGGCCCGAGGAATCAGAGCCGGGACGCTCTGCCGTTCTGCCCCACATCACTTCATTACATAGATATTCCATGAACGCGGAAGATTTCGAAATCAAGTGAACAAGCGGTCGTCGACCGTTTCTCCCCGCTTACCAGAGCCGTCTTGACTCTAGAGGACGTATATGTACATGGAGCTCCTACTACCGATCAATTTCAATTGTATCACTGCGATTCACGGAGTCAAACTCTCAGAACTCCTGCTTGAAAACTCGGTCGTATGAAAGCTCCGTGTGCATCGGACCCCACATCTGAAGGATGGGCTCTTCCTTCGGCCGATCACACGTCGCTCGAGAATGTAAAACTAGGGACTCTCTTCTTACTTGTGATAATCGGGAGATGAGAATCACTCACGATGGGCTGCATTTGGACGCTGAGGTCGAAAGACCAATTTATCGGCTGCGATGAGGAAGAGAGAGGTCCAGGCGCCATGCTTTCCGCCGGACGCAGACAACTCATCGCCGACCAACTCATCGCCGGAATCTAAACGCCGACTTCTCAACGCCGGATAGCTCAGCGCCGAGACAACTCAACGCCGGACAACCTAACGCCGGACAATTGATCGCCGGTCAACTCAACGCCGAGGACCTGTCGGGTCCGGTCAACTCAGCGCCGAGAACCTGCTGCTAACTCGATCCTAGCTCAGGAGGCACCTTGCTTGAAAATGATGCGTCCAGATGATCTGCTACCCCAAGTACACAGCTTGACGATATGTACTTCCAGACGAGTTAACGACTTCCGCCCGTTCACGGTAGTCGAATACTTACGCGGGTGCGCGAAGACTTCCTTATGAAACCTTGGATGATTGCGTGCATATCGGCAAAAGCTCGATAAGAAGTACCTAAACGGACGAGGTCGCTGAACACTGCCGAGGTCCTGGCCGTCCTTGGTTGTCCCGGCGTTAGCTTGTCCGGCGATGAGTTGTCTCGGCGTCGAGTTGTCTCGGCGTTGAGGTATCCGGCGTTGAGAATTCGGCGTTGAGATTTCGGCGATGAGTTGGTCGGCGATGAGTTGTCATGTACCGCCTTCAACTGGTCTTTCCTTCGAAAACTATGACTCTGACTTAAGTTGCGACAGCTCCTGCCTCTCGGGAGCGGCCATGAGGCGTCGACTCGGATCGGGATCTTCGCGCACCTTCGCTTGCGCCGCGCCGTCAATCCTGCGAAGTCATGTCTTCTGTATCGGCGGAGTGACGCTCCGCACGAGCATCCTCGCTGTACGGGAGCAACTCTCGGGCGAGAACGACAACAGCCCCTTCATCTATCAAACGCCAAGCAGAGCTGACGAATTGATAATGTCTGCGTGGATAATCATTGTTAATAAATAAACTAGAGCGCTCTAGAGATGATTGTGAATTGGAGGCGATCCGGGCTCAAGGAGCTCCGATATCGACTCGATGGATCGAGAACTGCGAGAGCCCTCTGCGTTGTCCAACCGGAGAATAGTTCCTATCTCCGACGGATGGAGGATTTCGCATTCTAGTGCCGTTTCTCTGATGCAAGCTCTCGAGGGCAAAGGCTATGGAGAAAATCGTCGCTTCTCCGCTCTCACGCGATGATCGGTCGTGAATCGACCGTTGCGACGAGCCGCCATTCCCGTCGTGCGATTCGGTCTTCCGCCTGAGGCACCCGGTGGAGGTAAAAAAACTTCATCGAGCGCCGTAACACACGAGATCAAGAGCCAAGAGGTCTTCCTCCTTATCTTCGAAATCTATGATCCGAGACAGAGCCCGATCGATCCGAAGACGTCATCGGAGGAACTCGCGGAAGGAAAACTCGAGCGGAGATTGTTAGAGGAATCTCACTCACGACGAGTTCTCGAACATGTTTTCCGAACGTGATGAATGTGATTTATCATCTGAAGAAGCTCGACTTCGTCATGAGTTTGATACGCCGCAGTTCCATGACTGACTTCGACGCTTGCCAGCTTGCTCTGCCAAACAATTAATCTCGTTTGAAACCATAAGGAAGTGAAGCAAGGGAGCTTTCTGGGAGAGAAAGTATCGGGGTTTTCCTGGAATCCTCTGCTGATGCGGAAACAACGGGGGAAACCCGAGTGCCGATCGCGGTGCTTCCTCAACCAATGACACGGTCGCTGATCTGTCGGACCTCTCACATGCAGTGCAACTGTGTTCCTGAGAAGCGAAGTCACTCGCCCTGAGAAATGGACCCTAACGCTCGTAGAACGGAAGTCGACTCCACGAGTGACTCGTTCATGGAGAGTGATAGCGATCGGAGTTCCGTGGATGAATCTGTGCGAATGTACGCTCTAAGCTCGGACCTTCGAAGCGAGAGTATCAGAGTAGACTCATGAATCACCAGATGATATCTGGGAGGACATCCCCCTCCCCCTATATAATAAAAGCGCTATGTCTGTCTGACACCGGACCACTTTTTAGCGCTCTCCACCTCCGAACAGACCGCAAATTTTCCAGATCGATGCGCAATCACTCCAGTGAGGTCGAGATATACTTTTCTAACTGCTTAACCGCATGTTTTCCGTGAAATTTACGTGTTTCTCCAGTAATCGTTATTTTCCACCAAATGCAAAGCCGCTTCTATGATGTCATCAGTACTCATCGGGTCACCTTTATAACAGTTCCACGAGCACGAGCCCACAGTCTACATTCAACTAGCTTCGCAATCGGAACCTGTATCAAGGAAGGAGCCTCTACTCCATTCGTTTCAGCGTTCAGCAAGTGTGACGAGCGGCGTATCCCGGGGGCACGTGCCAAGAGGCTGCGGCTCTGAGAAGAGGTGCCCGGAATGCCGTGAGGTGCCCATGATCCCGTGAAAAAAAAATCGTATGCATCGTTCGGAAGCGTCACCCCGCGCTGAGAAAGTACGCCACAACGTTGGCCGGTCCCGTCAGGCTCCGGCTCTCTGCGCTTGGATTTGAAACCATGCCCGGTTATGAAGCGCAGTCAGACCTCAGACCTTTTCCTACTTCGAAACTTTACAAATAATCTTCACGAGAATGAGCCCCTCCCAACACCCCTTATTCACGATTATTATTTAATCCAGGCTCAAAGAGGAACCAGATGTCTATTGCTTGCATACCCTTCCCCTTGGACAACGAAAAGCAACACTCGATGTTCTTAAGGCTGTGGGGGCGCGAAGCGCCCTCACGGCTAGTATCAAGAATGAGATTACTTCCACGGTCTGAGTACGGAATCGACGCGGATATCAACAATTCCCGAAAGGAACTATGACTGCGCATGAGAGAGGAGTTGAGGAAAATCTTCGGGGAATAGGTAGAAGAGCTGAAGAAAAAAATGCCTCGCCGAACGGCCAAGGAGAGCGGAAATTCGACTGCAGTGTAAGGCTCGGGTAAATAGTATCTAGTGAAAGAACCCATCTCCCAGGATACGTCCGAAACCCGGGAGCCTGATGGCAGCTTCTGAAGATTCGCCGTATTTCCCAGAGCCCGGCCCGAAGTTCCCGAGGATACTTGGCTAGAAAAACGCGCGAAATATTGAATCTGGCGAGTATATTTCCTCCTCACGGTCGTCCGCGGCGGCGGGTGGTCGCCTGAATAGTCGAGGGTCTCGCCTAGTCCTTTATTGGCAATTTCAGTCGAGTTCGCTATGAGCCACATCCTTGTATCGCTGTACACATACGTATTTAGAGCGAGGTCTGAGCTCATGAATGGATTCTCCACCGTAGTCACGGGATGACCATCCGCGTCGCGATAGAACATTGTAATGTGATCAACAGGGGCGTGCCCAGGATTTCGTCTTGGGGGGGGGCAACATTCATCCCGGGGTTCGTCGATCTCGACTTCGCCGTGAACCGAAGACAAATGAAGAGACCGTTCGTAGGCACCATTCATGTTTATATGATATGATAAGGAAGGTAGCTAGCTTAGCTTATCGATTATATTACAAGAGTCGGAGGCGGCTTGATGCCGCTCCTTGCTAAAAGTTTCATCCTTTGACTTCACTCAGGACACAATTTGAGGAGGTATGAGGTGTTATCATTCGATTTAGATGTTAGGAAGTTATGAGATGAGTCATGAGTTGGGCAAACTCTTGCTTCTGTCTCATCCCCGCTCCTCGCAATGAGCGACAACGACGATCTTTCGGATTGAGCGATGGCCATCGCCTATAGAACAATGTCTAACCTTCTCGGATCCTGGGCGATTAAATCGACAACTTCGTCGACACTAACCGGTACATCGCGCTGCAGAGTCATCGAAGCCAATCCATTGAGTCGTTCATGCCCCATCGTAGATCGAAGATAAGTTTTGAGCAGCTTCAGGGAGCTGAAGGTTCTCTCGGGTGTTGATGTCGTCACGGGGAATGTGGCAAATATCTGGAGGAGGGTCGCGATCTTCGGATATTCGATCCTTGGACAAAAGCTGAGTGCTTCGATTGCGGTTTCTGGAAGCTCGTTCCCAGCCTTCCTGCCCCACTTCGCCTTCCAGCATTCAAACTCCCCTCTGAGAACGCTGGCACTGCAGTCTAAGTCGGTCTGATAGAAGTCCAGCGTTTCAATGAGATCGGCGAAAGTGCTACTGACGGTATACTTCGGTACAAGGCATTGGACTTTCATTGCCTTTTGCCGAGAATCGGCGAACAGCGAACGAAGCTCCTGGATCAAATGGTCAAGATACTGAACGTACATAGTCACCCGGAAATAAGCTTCGGGTGTCTCCGCCTGATGATTTTCCCTGTGCATTTGTCTACCGCTAATGCGAGGCATTTTGATCTCGACATCCAGCAGAGCGCAGATCTCTGTGACTTCATCGTAGATTATCTTGAACTCGGTCTCAACATTTTGACGCTTAAGCTCAAGAATGGATAAGATGTTGTCGACCATCCTGAGAGCGGCAAAAATATCGAGGCTTTTTTTCTGTAATTGCATAGACAACGGGAGAAAAATGCACGAGAAGCTCTCAATGGTGAGTAGAGCGAACACGAAGTCGCATTTGCAGACGGAGCTCTCTAGTTCGTATGCTCGCACGCCAGTTTCACCCGTGACTTGTCCGAGCTCAACCAAACAGTGGAAGAGGGGGACTAGAAGCTCTCTGAAAGTAATGAAGGCGTGGTGCGATTCGACCCAACGAGTGGGGCACAGAGCTTTGAGCCGTGTTTTGGACGACGTGGGTGCGTGGGCATCTATCTTATCCATCAGGCATTGGTGTCGCTTCGTAGACTTACAGAAGAAGTTACAAACGCTCTTGACGACACCAGCGGCCAGTTTGATAGGGACAATTTCGGCGGAATGGACGAGCGCGAGGCTGAGGCAATGACTGGCGCAGTGAAAGTACAGGGCTTGAGGCACCACGGCCTTAATTTCTGCTTGGACACCATTTCCAGCTCCTTTCATCGAAGCACAACCGTCATATCCTTGACCTCTGATATTTCTCACGTCGACTCCTTCCTCTTCCAAAGCATCCAAGATGGTACGCGCTAGCGCGGCTCCGGTTTTCTGAGCTACGGCGCAGAACTTCAGAAAAACTTCCTTGACGACAGGCTTGCTGGCTGAGGTCGATATGTAACGCAGGCAAATCGTCAACTGATCGATCCTACCGGCGTCTGATGTCTCATCCGCGAGCACGGCGTAGAACTTAGAATCATTGACCTCCCGTACTATCTTTCTTCGGATGATCTTTCCTATTGCCGCTATGAGCTCATTTTGGAATTTATTGCTCATGTATGTCGCGTTTCGTTTGAGATTGTTCAGATGCTCTTCAAGGAGAGAGTCTCCACAATCAAGACGAAATCTCAAGAGCGCACGGAATTTCCGTCGTTCGCGTTTTCTCCGCCCGAATCGAGAAGTCCGTTGTCTCTGTGTCCCCTCAGGGGTATATTCTGTCTACCACACAACAGTATCGTTTTCACGATGGGTATCAATCTCTGGCGGTTCTTCACAACTTGCTCTTCTCGGGCTTTCACTAAACGATTTCTGATATCGAGATTGACTCGGTCTCCATGCCACTCAAGAAAGTCATTCGCGCTCTCACTGGCTCTGCGATGATACTCACTGAGAGCGTGATTCTTGAGAATGTCGACTGCTTTCTTGAACCTGTTCAGCGGCTGAGTGATGAGTACACCTCGCTTTCTGAGACCCCCGTGGCTCGAAGATTCTGTTTTCGCAAAAAGAACGCAATGCTTACAGAAACCTCCACCCCCAAACATCTCACTGTATGCCAACCAAGGCCACAGACTGAGATAGTGGTATTGGAACGCTCGAGAGCGATTCGACTCTATCGTTTTAGGGAAAGCATACTCTTTGTCCGGTTCCCAACAGTGTGTCAGAGCCTCAAATCGCTCCTCGTCTGTCAGGGAATGGTCGCAACTTCCATTGCTTGTCACGAATTTCCCTATATCCATGGGGTTGAGAGCGACTCTCTGTCGCCTCGCCGACGGTGATGACACGGTCACTTCGTCTCCCAGCGTTGTCGCGTCTGGAGCAGATTCTTCCTCATTCAGCGCAACTCCGGATGGTACTGATACTGATGCGAAGTGATCTGTGATGTTCCGAGCTTCGGTCAATTCATTTGTAGAAGAATCGGGTGGAGTCTCGATGCTTTCACTGTTCTTTCTCGAGAAAAAAATTGTGAGCTTACTTTGCCCAGCCATTATCTCTGCTTGGCGATCCTTCGTCGCTGGATTCACAGTCACTTATCAGAAACAGAGAAATTAGGTCATGGTCATTCGCTCCCGCCTCTAGAGAGAAAAATCATTCCTCTTCGAAATCAGTCGACACCAGCAGCTGCGCGGAGAGTCAAGCGCCACAGGTCTCGATGGATGGTGGATACATCCGTCTACACATACGCGTATATGTACACGCAAAACATTCGAATCCTTTCCCACGCCTCCACTCAAACCATGTGGACCTGAAAATCTTGGGGGGGCCATGGCCCCTTGGCCCCCCCCTGCGCACGCCACTGGTGATCAAGGAATCCCCCCCCATATAATAAAGCTACAGTCTCTGTCCGTCCGTCAGTTCGCGTCCTATACAGCGATTGCCTCACGTATGCTGCCACTTTTTTCAGCCAAACGATTCGAAACAACCCCTTCTTCAAAACTATTTAATCCCATACTTGAAATGCATACAGGCTTCGAGAAATCTCCCAGAAACCTGGACATCTTTGTCGTCCACAGCCATATTTTCATGGCGGTCTTCGTCACCTTGAGAAACTTTTTGCTTTGCCTCTAAGCGGATCAGCAACGAAGTGCGTCTCCGATTGGAGCTCAATCAGAGAGCCTGCCGCGACAAATCCATTACGCCTAAACTTAGAGTGACGCGAGTGAGGGAAGAGTGACGTCGGCGGCTAGCAAGAGATCGCATGCGAATAGGTAGAGCACAACGCACAGAAGACCAAGATG